CCCTCCTGCCGAGGGCTCTGAACAAATTGGGACAGGTGCCCTGCTTGTATTAACCTCTCGATGGCCGTCTTTAGCTGATGGCAGTCATCGGTCCTGTGCCCCTGGTGCCGATGGAAGCGACACTAGGGGAACTGAGGGTTGATAGCGTGTACCTCCGGGGGTGCGCGAGAGTCGCGCTCAACGAGGCCCCTCTCCTCGGCAAAATCGAGGAAGATGCTGACGGGGTGCGTCAATGGTGTCCGAGGGCGGTCCAGGAGAATGGGTTGGGCCCAAGTCTTAGGGTTGCTCTTATAACCTCCCCCGGGCTTGGCTGGCCTTGCCGAGGGCGGTCATCAGAGGGTCCCGAAGCCTTGGGGTGATTGGGAGGAGCCCCCGGCCCTCGGTTATGCTTGTTGTCAGCCCTCGGGGGCTGCTGGTCCGGATGCTGGTGATACTTCTCCACCTCCTCGGCCTCAGCATATCAGTCCCCCCGCTGCAAAGCCCTTATGTAGTCGCGGGGGGGGGGGGGGGGGGGGGGGTTCAATGATGAGGCTCCTTGAAAAGTTGCCGGTGCGGAGGACGGTTTGTAGGAGGGCCAGGAGGGTCCCGTCATCAGCACCGTCGACCTTGTCGGCCTCCGTCCTCCAGCGCTCTAGGAAGTCCCGAAGGGTCTCATCCCTCTTCTGGCGTATTGTTAGGAGGTGGGAGAAGTGCTTCCTTGTGCGACGCCTCCCGACAAATTGTGTGAAGAACCGCTGGGCGAGTTCTTGCCATGAATCAATACAGCCCTCGGGCAGCCTGTTGAACCATTCGTATGCCGGTCCCTCTAAGGTGGAGAGGAACCAACGACACAAATATTCGTCCGACGCCCCTACCATCATCATGCTGTTCTGGTACTTGCTGTAATGTTCCTGGGGGTCCGTTTTTCCGTTGTAGGGCTGTATATGTTGCCCTCGGTATTTTTCCGGGATCCGGGCAGCCAATACCCTTGGAGTAAATGGCGTTCGAGTCCGGAGCTGGATGACGGGTTCCCCGGAGCCCTCAGCCACCTTCTTCTGTAACTCCTCCATTTTGGCCATCATGGCCTCGTATTTGAGATCTGAATGAGGGGTGGAGGTGGTGGCACGAGCTTTGTTGGACTCCATCTCGTCAAACCGGCGTTGGAGGGCCGCAATAATCTCGTCCCGGGGATCCTTCGGGAGGGTCTCCGCCCCCTGCGAACGAACCCGGGCCGAGTGGGCCTGGTTGATTTGGTGCCGAGCATCATCGGCATGAAGGGGTGCCTTGCCTTTGTCCCGAGGGGGATACTCCTCGTCTGCCCTCGAAACAGATCCCCCGCTTTCCTGGGGCCTTTGGAGTGCTTTCCCCCCGAGGCGGTCTTGGACCCTTGGCGGTCTGGCCCTCCACCGAGCCGGTTGAGGGCGGAAGTACGGGGCCTTTCCCTGTTGTCATTATGGCGGTCCCGGGACTGAACTTCCTGGGAGGACGTATCTTGGGCCACCACCCCTTCGTCGTTTCTCACCCTAGGGGTGGGATTTCCGAAGGGGTGTGGCAGAGGGGGAAGTATGATATTTTCCCCGATCTGAGGGTGAGCTGGAGCGTCTGGATGAAGGCGGAGAGCGCCGATTGCACGTCGATGGTGAGAACCGGAGGGCTGACTTGGTCATCGCTCCGGTTTTTCTTCTTGGCCTCGATGCCGAGGCGAGCATCGGGGGCATTTTGTTGGATCTGAAGGCGTAGGTCGACAGCCGCCTGTTCCAGTCCAGCGATGACACCGCCCTCGGGAGCCCTGTGAGAGGCTTCGGGGGCGTTGACGTCGCCGAGGGCCAGGTTCTTGTCTTCTACGTTCTTTGAGTTGGCACGTGTTGTCCTCACCATTTTGATAGAGGGCTAGTGTTTTGTCTTTGGTCGAGGGGGAGAGTTTCTTACTCGATTGTTCGAACTCTCAACGAGAGCACCAAATGATGGATGGTCTACCCGGGGGTATATATCCGAAGGGTTATTACGGGGAATAACTTAGAGAGAAGTCAGAGCAAGTAAGTAAAAGTAGAGAGAGAGTGTATTCAATATGAATGCCGTTTTCAGCGTGGTTACAAATGAGGAAATGGGGTGCTATTTATAGTAGCAATAAATGTCGGGCAGGGACACGTGTCAAGCGCTCATTGGCCGAGGGGTCACCTCAACTGGTTGGCGCTGGCAGCCGCATGTGGCCGCATTTAATGCGACTGTTGGATGGGACGTCTGTGCGGGGTACGGTGATCTGTACGCATGTGAGGCGGATATCCTGTCGAGTGAGATGCCTTCGGCTATAGAGCAGTAGCCAAGGGCTCTTCCACCCGATGGCACCCTGGTGCTGAGGGCTCACAGTGCCGAGGGCTACTGTTTTCGCCGTTTTCTCCCAGTTTCTTAATTTGCTTGAGAAACCCGTTCTGTGAGAATTTAGAGCCTTCGGCCAGGGGGCCGAAGGCACCCCTGGCGCGTAGTGCGGGCTGCTTGGTACTCTGGGCGCTGTGATTTGGGCCTGCTGGGCCTTCTGGGCCTGTTGGGCCTTCGCTAGAGTAGTAGGAGTCTGTGGGCCGGGGGTTCCCGGGCCATATACTCCATCATATGTCTTATTTCAAGTGTCGTGATGCAATGAGTTCCATTGATTCGTTTTGTGTTTCAGATGTATTTTGTCTTAGTAAATCATATGTTTGGTTGTTTGTTTGAGTAGAATGGACTGTGATAAGCAGATTTTCTGGTAACTACAGGTTCATTTGTGTAATTAATAGTTCAGCAGCTTGCTAAACATAAGAGCCGCCACTTGAAGTGGCGGCTTTTGTATACGTATAGAAGAACCGCCACTTCAAGTGGCGGCATTTGTATAGCACGTTGAAGAGCCGCCACTTCGAGTGACGGCTTTGCTTAACCATGATTAACCCCAACAGTATTTCGGGAATTATTTTTGAACCGACAGTATTTCAGGTATAATTTATTTATTTAACATTATTCCGGGAAAAAACTGAAGCATGACATCCTCATTTATTAGTGAGTTAACGTAACACATCAATCTCTTAAATAAAACAGTAGAAGATCAAGTATAACTTAAAATTCACATCAATCAAAAGATTTCTTTAAACTATAACGTACTCAAGCTATTACTCTCAACTCTCAATGTCATAATTTATTTGATACTCCGTATTATAGAGAAGTTCACGTGTACATATAAAAATAAAAAATTATTATGAATAGACATGTTTACCCCTTTAAAACTGTAGTATTAAATGTCTTTTGTTTCCAAAAAAAACAAAAGTATTTAATGTGAGAATATTTATAACAGATTTGGTATGCTAGTACAAAACATGCATTATTTTAGCAAAATCATAATTACTTTGTAATAACATTTGTGTCATAAAGGGTACAATATTTTATTATTAACGTTTGACAGTATTGAAAAGATGATTTTTACCTTTTTTCATAGTTGTTAAATTTTAGTGACTCAAATATATTACAAGAAAAAAGTTATCTTTGATAAAAGGTGACTTTTCTAAAGTTAGAGACATTTTTTCATAAGCTATTCAGCAAAACTTCTAACGAATATTTTAAAATTTTAAAACAACTCCTAAAAATTATCACGCCAAATATATATAAATACAATCAAGGGTTCTTAGAAAGCAAGAACTTATGCCTATTTAGTACATAACAACATCCAAGGTTGGCTAATATAAATAAGTATATGATATCAGAGACAAAAACGAAATATAAAAATAAGAAAGATAAAAGGATAAAAATATTAGATAAATGTAAAAGTGATAAGATAAAAATGATATTTATTTTCGAATGATTGTCTTATAGGAGGTGGGATATGTGCTTAGCACCGGAGCCTACTTTTATGTGAGGGCTCCACATAATTAATACTCCCTCCGTCCCTAATAACTTTGTCATATTTGACCGGCACGTAGAATAATAAAGTAAAAACTGTGTGGTTGAGTTTTGTGCAGAGGAGAGAGAATGAACTAGAACCACAAATTCTTTATTTAAAAGGGAAAGTGACAAAGTTAGTGGGACATCAAAAAAGGAAAGTTAACAAAGTTATAAGGGACGAAGGGGGTATGTAATAGTAGTTTAAGTTTGATTTTCCTTATTGATATGTACTAACTCTGTCCCATTAAAAGGTTTTCATGTCAAAACAACACGGTTATTTAAACAATGATTAAATAAGGTATTTTGAGTATATTTTGATAAATAATTTTAATATGCATGTAATATAATGAGGTTAGTGTTGATAAATGTGATGTTACAAATATAATATGTTTAATATTTAATGATTAAATTGACATTTAAGATTGTTAATTGTCACGTGATGTGAAAAAAATGAGAACTTTTATATGTAACGTCCAAAAAAAGGAAAGAGACACTTTTCTACTGAACAGAAAGAGTATTACTCTAGATCAAATACAATTTTTAAATTTTTACAAACGGGTAAATGGAGCATTTTCTATAAAAAATTATATGTACTAGTAATTTTTCACGGCATATTTCAATATTTTCTTGTTTACAGCTCAATATTTGATTATAGTGGTACCAAATTGACCATATCTTATAATTGTGCCGTACGAAAAAAGTCTGTTCATTAATTTATGATCTAGAAACCATTTTTTAACTAAAAGTAATACGACTATATATTTTTCAAAGTAATAATCAAATTTGTTAGAAATTGACATTCAAACAACACCAATTAGATTTTAGGTATTAAAAGTAAAAGGCAAAAGTCAAATAAACTAGGGGCAACTTAATTAGTTACTTTACTAAACTTTAGCATACTGATTTTTAGATGGATCTTCCAGCTATGCAACTTGTATTTGAATAATGCTACATAGATCTATAAACCAATAATTAAAATTTATCACTTTCTATTTGACAAGATATGCATAGCAAAAAAATATTGAAAATTGTGGAAAAAAGAATATTCATTCACTTGAAATAAATTATTGATGTATATGCATAATATTATTGAATCAAAGATGCTTTTAATGAACTGTGGGGCATTACATTGGTTCCACCATCTCTCCATTCCCCGCTTAGATAGGATCTTTCGCTGCGCTTTGTTTTAAAAACAAACCCCTCGAAGAAACAAACGAAACCCAGAAAATAAATTAAGGAAAAACACGCCCAGAAGAAATCAAGAATCTTCATCTCGTCCAGGAAGAACAGCAGAGATTGGGTGGGGTGAAAATGGGGAATGTGACGTCGACCGTGGCCGCAAAGTTCGCATTTTTTCCACCTGACCCGTCGACGTACGACGTTTTCAGAGACGAGGACGGCCGGTTGTGCTTCAGCGGCGTGACGGCGGACAAAAACGTGGACGTGCATTTGGTGGAAACCAAGGGCGGAAACAAGATTGTGGCCACCTTCTGGAAGCACCCTTTCGCGAGGTTTACGGTTTTGTATTCCCACGGCAATGCTGCGGATTTGGGGCAGATGTCGGGTCTCTTCCTTGAGCTCAGAGCTCACCTCCGTGTTAATATAATGAGGTCTCCTTAATTTCTTCCATTACAACGTCATAGATTTTGTTTTTGTTTTGTTTTTTAATAAGATTGTTTTTTGTCATAATCGCTTGTATTTAATGAACTTTCCCACCGAAACATCTTGTCTGTCAGGATTTGGCTAACTTTGCACATATGTGTTTGCAGTTATAGATTCAAATCTGTGTAGGATATATTTGGTGTTTTTTGGACTGGATTTGCTTACTTTTTCCTTTCTTTTCCTTATATGGATCCTATAGTTGGTTGATTGGTTGTATACTTGTTTATGCTGATGATCACATTTGCTTCCCATTTAATATTAATTGGTCAAGTTTCATTATATTGAAGTCCTATTTTTGCGACCTTCATGCTTGCTTCTGTTACCATTTGTTTTTATATATGAATTTGTCGCCTAGTTTTTCCGAATCAACTTGTAAATTCTTATGATTTAGAGAAGCCTTTGGCAAAAGTTGAGTGTTATGTATGACATTCTTTTGAGTAGCATTTCTCTATTTCCATTTGTTTTTGAAGTAATGAATTACTTCATCTGATACCATGATATGTCCATATTTGCAGCTATGATTATTCGGGATATGGTGGATCTACTGGTAAGGTAATGAATGACGAATGTATGCAGTTCTATTAGATATATAGATATTCACCTTGATTTATTCACCTTACTTGACATTCAAAAGCCTCAAAGAGATTTTAGATTTTCCATGAATTTAATAAATGTAAAACACGTACTGAATACGGAATGAACAAAAATTTCCAACTTATTAGGTTCCCCTGCATGATCTGGATTTCTTACACATTTGTTCTTGAGAAGAATTTTTGTTTTGGATATATATAACAGCCATCTGAGCTGAACACATACTATGACATAGAAGCCGTGTACGATTGCTTGAAGAGCGAGTATGGAATAAAGCAGGAGGATGTTATTCTATACGGCCAATCTGTTGGGAGTGGACCCACGTTACACTTAGCGTGTCGTTTACAGAGGCTGAGAGCTGTTGTCCTTCATAGTGCCATACTTTCTGGAATACGTGTTCTGTATCCTGTCAAGATGACTTTCCGGTTTGACATTTTTAAAGTTAGTTAATCCCTTCATATTGATATCTTCTTTTTGATCTTTGAAGCACTATTTTTCTTTGTTTTTGACTTTTTGGAATGCTGCTTTTTTCTTTTCAGAATATAGACAAAATTCGGCAAGTCAACTGCCCAGTTTTGGTTATCCATGTAAGAGCACATCCCAGTTTTTTCATATCCAAAATATTTACAGTGAATCTTAACTGCAGCTGTGAGTTAATATGCAATAGCATAATAATCTTGTAAGCCAGGTACACCATGGTTTGCCTAATAATTTACCCTTCCCTTGCTGGCTTGATGCCATTTCTTATGCGAAATTGCTTTATGGGTTACCGCTGGCGATTATTTGAAAAGACTTGGTTCATATGCTGAATTGTCTTTCCTTAGCGCCTTAACATATCTGATTACTATGACATATTATAGTCGGTGGCGGAGCCAAAATTATCGTGTTAGGGGGGAGGCTCAGAGTTAAAGGAATTAGACTACTGCTTTGCTCTCTCATTTCAGCATATTTTAGGGGTGTTTGTCTTTATTTGGTCAGCTCACTTTTTTGTTGCTCACTTTTTAGGGGTTTTGGTTATTTTCAGTCAGCTTGTGTTTGTTTTGTTCTGTTTTTTCGGTTTTGGTTCAAAGCATAACCCTTATATTGGCAACCAAACAGCCTATGTTTTCGTCGTTTTTCATGTCGATTTAGTTTTGATTGGTCTGTTTTTTGTTCAACCCTAGTGTATATGATTATTAACAGTATGTTACACAAAAGAAACTCATATGCACCAGCTTAACTAAAAGATCCTGATAAGAGCAGCTTTGCAGGGAACAGCTGATGACATTGTTGACTTCTCCCATGGAAAGCGCTTATGGGAGCTCTCGGAAGAGAAATACGATCCGTTGTGGGTGGAGGGCGGAGGGCATTGCAACTTGGAGACATACCCGGAGTACATCAGGCACTTGCGCAAATTCATAAATGCAATGGAGAAGCACTCCTTCACCAAACAAAGTAAACCACGCCTATCTCAAGCCCCTAGTCTAACTGACTCCAAAAACAACAGATGCTTAGGGTTTGGAAAAAGATGACAGAAAGGATAGAAAGTCACAGTTCTATACACTTTAAAGGGTACAACCCTTCTTTGCATCCATTCTTGAGTTGCCATTGAAGCTAGCTTCTTTGGGCTATTTTCTAGAGATCAGCATTGATCCGACTCTTTGCTCGTGTGATGGTTATTGTTTAAGGCGAGAAGAAATGGCATTTTAACTTGTGGAAACCTTCTGATTAGGCTTTGATCTAACTCATTGAGAAGCTAGGAATGGCTAGGGTTATTTATGTACATACAGATCTTGCATCACTGACAGTTTCTGTCCATAACTCAATTGAATTTCCCTTTTCTTGCTTGTATATATGCACTGTTGTTTCTCACTTACCCCCCATTTGGACACTATTCATTAGTCCATCCAATGTCCATGAGTCCACTGTCTAAATGTCTATTGTACACACCCTTTTTATCTGTGTATAGATATAAAAAAATCATTTTTAAGGTGAACTGTCTATGTCACAAATAATTTTTTTCTGATAAAATAATTTTGAAAACACGATAAAATAAAAGTTTTTCTAATATTCCTTCATCTCTAAAATTTTTGCCAATGATTGGCACATAAAATAATAAAGTAAAGATATGATTGAAATTCTAAAGAAAAAGAGAATTGCTACCTTCATCCCATTTTATGTGTCTCATTTGATATCAATACAATTATTAATAAAGTGATTGAAAAAGTAAAAATTGTTGTAGATATTTAAGTATAATAAAGTGAAATGTGGTGGACTATATTTCCTTCTAGAAAAGAAAATGTGACTTATTTTGGAACAATTCAAAATGAAAAATAAGACAGACTAAAAATTAGCATGAAAATTAGTAAAGAAAAGTTGACAAAAATCGAAAGGAGTAACTTTGTACGGAGTAGTTTATACGAGTACTATACGTTCAAAAATACTCCTCCGTAATCCGTATATTCAGGCACAATTTCCAATGACTTTCCGGTTTGTTGGTCCCTATTTCCCTGATACGTAGTACATACTACTCGTAGTAGGTATTTTGTACTACCTTCGGCCCTCGATAGATGTTGTGAAGTGTAGAGTAACTGAAAAATAAGAATGGTAAAAATTGTATGGTTGAGATTTGTGCATAGAAAAGAGAAACATGCATAAACACAAATTAGTTATTTTAATAAGAAAGTGACAAAGTTTTTTAGGATAACAAAAAAAAAGTTTGCAAAGTTCAATGGGACGGAGTAATTTTATGTGGGTAGTCTCATACATATTTCCAGATTTCAAGAGTAAATTTCTATAAAATTGTTCGAAGATTTTCAGTTTTCAATAGTTTTTGAGTGTTATACGGTACTGTTATACATCAATTACTTTTAATTTTCTTTTGAAAGGGAAAATATTGAAACTAATTGGATGATAATTTAACTATGCCATAAGTTTCGATTTGCTAATCTACTTCATGACTTTCACTAACTTTTGATTTGGTCATTAAACAAGTTATTTGTACGATTTGATTTGGTCATTAAATCAAATTAACTCTACGACTAGGTATCTAGGTGCATCTTTGTTAATTCAACTTTTTACCAAGCCCGGTGTCAAAAAAGAATCTTTTTACTAAGCCCACTTTTCAATCGTATTTATGAAAATCATTTTTTTACTTTGCGTGCTTAATCCGTAAGATAGTGTTTTATGGAAGCTATTGTCAATAATCCTTTAGGGCATGTTTGGCACAAGTAGCTGAAAAGATACTTTTATGAGCTTTTTAATAACTGTTAGTTTTTAATGACTGAAAAGATCTTAAAAAGAAAAGTCGGTAGCTGTTTGGTAAAAAGTTGTCTGCTTGATTTAGTTCGGTCTGGTATACAAGCTGTTAGAACTAATTAAAACTAAAAGTCACGAGCTTTTCTCAGATGCTACTCCTTGTAGCATCTCAAAAAAGATCTTTTAATTTTTGAAAAGGTCTTAAAAATTGTCATGCCAAACATACAACTAGAAGCTTTTAAAGACTTTTTGAATAGCACAAAAGCTAGAATGCAGAGACTTGTGTCTGCCAAACATAGCCTTAGTCTTATTGATGAGATATCAAGGAGAAAAGTACGTGTTTAGAGGTGGACAAGTTCGGGTCTCCTAAGTCCTAACCGCCCCTTTAAGAGCTTGTTTGATAATTCTCTTTTTCGGCTTAGCAGATTTACCAGTTAACTTTTTTCACGAAACAAGTAATTTTGATTTCGCGCGCTGAATTGTGTAATAATAATAAGAAAAAACGTGCTTGGAGTTACTTTTATGACTGTTGGGTGAAGTTACTGTAAAAGACCATTTTAGCTATTTTTCATTTAATTTTTTCTTTATTTTATTAAAAATATATATTTTAAATACAATTTTTCAGAAATCATCAGAATCTGCCAAAGCAGCCACTTCAGCCAGAACTTCATAAATTTCAGCAGAATCAATCGATACAACTGATTTTGTACTACCAAACGAGCTCTAAATTGACCGGTTCTTGAAATTGGAGCTGGACTTTAATGGGCAATTCCAATTTCCAAGTAGGGGCCGGCACCTGACACATCGGGTACCAAGTAGCGGTCTTGGTTGGCTACTTTGGGGACCGAGACTATCGGTTTGTTCGTCGTTCGGTCCCCAATGACTCTTTCATTCCCCCTCGATTGATGGGGGCATTGAAGTCTCCTATAATGGGTCTTAGGACCGCCGGGGGATAGCAATAGAGGTGGAGGTTTAAAATAACCTGTAATCAATCTCATTTTTCCCGCACCTTCATTATTCATGGAAGCGTCCGCCACTATCGCTATTGCAATTTTAACTCAATACTATTTCAATAAGGATGCGACAAACATTTTCTATGCATCATGTTTTCACTGCAAGAAGATATTGTGTTTGGGAAAATAAGAAAGCAATAATTATGGTACACTTGCAAACATTTTCATACGAAATATTCAACACTCATCCACACCAAGAATGAATAAGTATAGAGTTCATTTAAAAAAAATCAAATGTTATGTACCGTTTTCATATTCAATAGGGCTATATATCTACCATCGTAATATTGTACGAAATGAGTGTTTTGTTTTTTTGAAATCGTTTGAAATTTGAAATAAACAATGTCTGGATGACTTACTTTATTGTAGCAATTGTATTTAAATAACTTTATAACAAGTGTCTTTGTGACTATTTAAAGTTTCTAAAAAGCTAATTATTTAGGGAAAAGAGTTTCGAAGTTATTTTAAACACACAAAAAGGACCAAACGAGAATTTAAGGTTTCTGAATTTTCAAAATATAAGAAAACATCAATTGTAAGAACTAAAAACTTTTCATGCTTCATAGATGCATAGTCATCAAACAAGTGAGATTTTGGCTTAACATCTGTCTACATACATTTCTTGCAAATTGGATGAAGAATGTAAACAATACTCTATCTTTCTCTTTTCTTTTGTTCCAAAAAAATACTCCCTTCGATCCTAAATAAACTCAACACTTTCCATTTTGGGTAGGTCCAAAATAAACTTCACACTTCTTCTCCCTTCCTTATTTGGCAAATTATCTACATCAAAACAGTGCAAAACAGTGTCAAACAGTATCAAACGGTGTCAAACAGTGTCACAACAGTGGACTCTACAGTAAAATCAAATTTATTTCCTTAATTTGTGTGAAGTAAAAGTGTGAAGTTTATTTAGGACCGGATGAAGTATCACTTTGTCTTTTAATCAATTAATTTGGAGTTTCAAAAATTTCTCTTTCTTCTATACAAACATCAACCATACAGTTTTTACTTTTATTTCCCGTACGATCAAACTTAACAAAGTTTTATGGAACGGATGAAGTAATTCCTGAATCGTATGAATGATAATAATAAGAGGTATTTGAAATAAATACAGGAACCGTATCACATATATGGAAGGAACACGGAATAAAGATCTTCCCTATGAAACCGTAGCCTTCCTTTTTGGATTCATCATAGCGTGCTAGGCTGATAAAGAATTAAAATAAAATGAATCATGGAATAAAAAATTATAAACAGATTAGGTAATATCCTACGTACTCGTGTGTCACTTTTCTCTTCCACATAACAAACAGTTTAACAGTGTAACGCATGTAAAAGTAAAGTACGATTGCTGGACAGCATTTCTGTGTTGAATGGGTATTCTTTCCCAATTTAAAATAGGCAAAAAGGCCGGGCACTGAATTAAATACGCCTGCCTGCACACCAGTGACTAAAAACAGTAGTTTCTGCTGTTTTGGAAAAACATTCTACGACTATTATGTCCTCGTCATTCCAAAATAAAAGCCTTCACTGAAACAGAAACAGAAGCAAATCAAAAAAAAAACCAACGCCTAGGCATTTAATACCTATGATTGATCTTTTTATTGTCTCAAATATTCTTGAATTCATCATCCACATGATTATGGGCTTTTCCTTGGGAACATCAGGCTGGGTTTTCTCTTCAGACTTTAGTAGCTGTTCTTGAATTCCGCTCTCTGTTTTTGAATAAGATCCGGGGGGGTCTGAACTGCCAAATGACTGCTGGAGTTGGAGTCAGTAGTAGCGTTGGGGAGGAAGACTTTGACGATTTCCCAGTGGGTATGCGTATTCTTGCTGTTGATGATGACCCAATTTGCTTGAAGTTATTGGAACACATGCTTATGAAATGCCAGTATCGTGGTATGTAAATGGCCTTTTATCTCTTCTTCAATCTGGTTCTCCAAAGTTCTGAATTGTCAAGTGAATAAATCTGTAACAGTTCAAATCTTGTTAATTACAACTTTCTTGATTGCTGATGTCGTTCAATGTTCTCTATATATATACATATATTGGAAATGATTTTATCGATGCAACCTCAATTCAGCACAGCACATAAAAGAGTAATGGTAAATCATTTAAACAGGAGAAAGCAATGAAAGATGAACATATACTACACCCGACAACCCTTCTTAATTAGTTGCAACAATTTGACTTGGTATGACACAAATATGCTAACTTTAACATTTTAGGGAGTATTTATTAATCTAACAACAATCATATTATTCAAAAAAAAGTCTCAAAGTAAGAATTTTTATTATATTAACATCAATATTCTCACTAATATTAATGGTCAAAGTGGTGTACGAGTCAAACTGTTGCAACTAAATGGTATGGAAAAAATATACGGAGTATATATGTATATATCTATAGAGAGATCTTCAGTTCCGGAATTCCAAACCAGGACCGCCGTCCAGACGACGGCGTTTGGGCCACTTCCCGGTAGAATTATTTGATGAAATTTTTATGTCATGTTCTTCATCAAGTCTAGTTTATCCACAAAAACATTCAGCTAAAAAATCAATCGGGAAGACCGTCAAATAATTTTTGGAAGTTAACTGCATTTTATATGTATATTTTGGCGCAGTTATCTTTCAAAAATCATTTGACGGCCTTCCTGATAAATTTTTAGCTGA